TAGTGGCCATCCTAAAGGATGTGAGATGCTTTTCATTTGCATTTTTCTGCTGATTAGTGTTGGTGAGCATCTTTTCATGTGCTAATTAGCCATTTGTGTATCTTCTTTGGAGGAATGTCTATTCAAGTGCTTTGGTCATTTTTTAATTGGGTTGCATTTTTCTTTTGTTTGCTGTTGTAGTTCTTTATAGATTCTGGATACCAACACCTCATGACTTTGTGATTTGCAGATATTTGATCATGTCCTCTGATGCACAAGCTCTTTCGCTTTTGCTGTCTGTGGTTTTGGTGTCATATCTCATAAATCATTGCCGAGTCAAGATTTTCCCCTATGCTTTCATCTGAGAGTTTTCTCATTTTAAGTTTTGCATTTAAGTCTTTGGGTCACTTTAAGTTGATTTTTGTACATGGTGAAAGGTAAGGGTCCAGTTTCATTCTTTTGCAAGTGGATGTCCGCTTTTCCCAGCACCATTTCCTGAAAAGACTGTCCTTTTCCCATGGAATGTTCTTGGCTCCCTTGTCCAAAATCACTGGACCATATACGTGAGGTTTAATATAATTTATTTTAAAATGACATCAGTGAATATTAACGCTCATATGTATGTTTTGACCCTCCCGCCCCCCAATTTAGGTAGTATTACATTGTTCGCTGTCATGACCATCATCCTGGAATGCCTTAAAATTGGGTACTTCATTGGATATTCTGAATGTTTATCGGCCACCGAAGGAGTGTTCCCTGTCACACACGCAGTGCACACTCTGGTTCAGGTAAACCACATGTTTCTTTACATTGCCTTGTTTTCTGCTAAGTGTATCTCAGGGTGTGTAGAATGAGGTTTGTGGGGGGCGGCGTGCGGTGAGCTTGAGTCCATCTCTTAGGCTCCATCTTTCAGATGCCTCCGTGCAAAATGGGACCCTGTGTCCCCCTGGCCCCCTTTGTAGGAATCCCAAGAGGCAGACCTTGTAATGGCAAGAATCAGGAAATTCTGCCAAGCCAGAGTCCACCAGAAGAGGTTGGGGGTGGGGGGGAGGCAGGTGGAGGGGGGCGGTTAACACAGCAGTTTTGTTGAGATATGATTCACACACCATACAATTCACACGTTTAAGTTTACAGTTCGGCGGTTTAGTATATTCATAGGGCTGTGCAACCATCACACGATCCATTGTAGACCATTTCCATTGCCCCCCAAAGAAACCCTGTGCCATTGCAGTCACATCCTCTGGCCACCGAAACACTTCTTCTGCTGTCGTTTGCTTACTTGTGGATTAAAATCTTTAGACATATATGAGAGGTTCTTTGTCAGCATTGGTCAACTTGGCGAGGCTCAGAAGTAAGGATTTGATGTATGCAATTTAAATACATAGTTTAGAGTCAGAAAAATCTCATATTTGAGAAGAATCTGAGATGGGCCTAAGCATGGCTTCCGTCCTTAGCAGGAATCCCTGGAATGGCCATCAGAAGTGGGATCCCTGTTACTCTAATCATACAAGTAGTAATTAATACTCCTGTAGGACTTTAGAGTATGCATAGTACTTTTCATTTGTCACATCACATCCTGCTTGGAATAACTCCACAAGACCCGGTGCTGGACCATCACGCTCCTTTCTAAGGAAGAACCTGGAGGGTGGAGAGGACAGATGGCTGGCCCAAAGTCACGGCCGAGACACGATGATTCTCCTCCATACAAGGTGCCCTGGAAGACCATGAACTTGATCCAGTGATACTGTCATTGCTCAAAAGATTTCTGGATTCCCAGTTTAAGAATGTCCTTCAGGACCCGCTTTCCACCTTCAGAATGCCAGCGATGCCATTTTTAAACCCCGCCTCTTATCCAAAGTGGTCTCCAGAGTGTGTCCCCAGTGACTTCAGGATGTTACTTGAGATGGGACACATTCTCACAAGTGAGGTGCTTTGAGAGGGTGTGTCGCATGCACTCGGCAGCAGTTCGGCTCTGTAGTACTGTGGTGGGATGCATGGGCCAGGAGCTTCCTGGGGGTTTAGTTTGACAGGGTCACCTCGTATTTGAGAGTCGTGATGGGCTGAATTGTGTGACCCCCAAATTCAGAAGTTGAACTCCTAACCTCCAGGACCTCCGAATGTGATGATATTTGGAGACAGGGTCTTTATAGAGGTAATTAAGGCTCAATGAGGTCCCTAAACCAAGAGGACTGATGTCCTTATGAGAAGAGGAGGTTAAGACACAGACACCTGGAGGGAGGAGCACGTGAGGACACTGGAGGACGACGGCATTTACGAGCTGGGGG